ATACTCAAGTAAAGTACAAGTACCCCATCAATTGTATCAAGTACAGTACTTGAGTAATGTATTTAGTTACTTTCATCTCAAAAAAGTCCCCACCCCATCCCTTAAAAGTCCCCTTTTAGGCACACACCCACGTTTTCTTTATGAAATGCAACAATATTTATATTGAATATACAACAACCTGCTTAGAATAATCTTTAGTTTGAAACTAAATGCTTTTGGAACTGCAAGGCCTAAATAAGCTCCTGGTCAACTGAAATGTCCACAGTAGACAGTCCTAGACCCCTATATATCATATATACCTACTTCCAATATTTCATTGGTCGGGTTACACTTCAGAAACCTTTTGTATATTCATGAGGGAGACCTGACGGTCATCGATAGCAACTGATATATTTAAATCTTTGACAATAAATTACATTAAAAAATCATCTGTGGAACCGTACTGGTAAAAAGCACGACTCATTTTAGCCGCCCAGCTAAATGAAACGGATGCGCCTACCTGTCCTGTCAGCCTTCCATATGTGCACAAACTTTATCTCGGTGCCCTCATTCGGTCATGTGCGCGTTTGTTGTGTGTGGAGGAGGGGCTCCTGTCAGAGAAGTCTGGAAGGAAGGGGCAGGTTTTTTTCGGCTGCGTATTTCAAATTCCAAGAGCCGCAGCTCGAAGCTGGTTTCTCCAATTCTTTACTTATACCCTAAACCTTCAAAGTATAAATACATGTGTATTAATGAAATAATAGTAGTGTATTTTTAAATTAAATAAAGCCTATTTAAATTTTAAGTAACAGCTTAACAGCCAGGCAAGTGGGCGGAGCAGGGGGATGCTAAGGAGGTGCCAAACCCCCCGAGGAAGCCATAGCACCCCTAAAAACATCCTCCCCAAAATGTATGTATTATCTTTTTATGTGTGAAATTCATAATTTGAAAAAGGATTGATTCGAAAATAATATGCTACAGTCCAGTACAAGTAGCCTACTTCTGGGTCTCTGTGTTTCATTCAAGCTCTGCTCTGTGTGTGTGGCACGAGCCATTTTGTGTGCGTGCGCGAGCGAGCGAGAGAGAGAGAGCACGCGCTGGTACCGGAGATCGTTGTGGTTAGCATCTGGTGCTAGCTACGCTAACGGATATAAGGAGCTTTTTCAACAACAAGGTGGAGGGAGAACTCTCTCCTGTCAGACTGAGAGTCTAAGATAACCTCAGCTCAGGTGAACTAAAGGATACTGAGTGTTTAGATAGTTAACTTTATTCTAAGTTATCTCAGTGGGTCTCAAAACGGTTTGGTCACGATTAATGCAAATAAGTATTTCTGAGGCACACGTTTATATGATCATTATAGATATAAAAAAATAAGAGCATAAATGAAAAACAGGTATGAAATACTATATGACAGTAAAACAAGAATAAAGTTTAAAAGGGGAGTGATTTGTAAAATATCCATAAAGAAATAGAACATCTGTTTACAGTTCTGTTTCATATGGGTGTTGACTGTTGAGAGATGTATCAATAGATCTCTTGATTTTGCTCTCAAAGTGCACCAGATTGATGCATTTAAGTTCAATATTTAAAAAAAAAAATCTTCCCCGAGGGAGCATGCCCCTCGGACACCCATAGAGGATGGTAGGTCCACCCCCCACTTGTAAAAAAAAATTGCACTTTACCCCTGCTTACTCCTATATGTGAGCTGATTATCGAGCCTTCATTGTAACAGTCGCGGGTATGCATGTGCGTGTGGGGAGTGTTGCAGTAGAAAATGCAACTGTAGCGCCCGGGACATTAATGGGAAACCCTAAATGTTTGAGCACCCTCTATGAAACGTCAAGCTACCCCACAGCATCCCCGAAAGAAAATCTCTGGCGCCGCCACTGCTTAACAGTAAAGTTGTATTGAATTTCCAATTAAATGCATTTTATTAATATTTTTGAATTGATCACTTATTTTACAGTTATTTTGTAAACATGCATCCTTGTAAGCATGTCTCTATAGTAATGTTATTATTTAGAGTATAACAAGCAGAACACAGCCACGTTTCAACAGAAGCATCATATCATGAAGAGGAATAATATATAGGAGCATAGTCTGTGTGTAATGTTTACTTCCTAATAGTAGTCTGTTTATTCAGCTAACGTTTTAAATCCCGGCTTCCTGAAGGTTGGGCAGTTGGGTAGATAATGAAATCCAAACTTCGGTTTCTGTTTTAGCCAACCACTTGAGATTGACTACTGTCAATGTGACGAAATATCAATATGTAAAATACTAATGAAATCCGTCTTCTTTGTTCAACAGAGAACATACCCTTTTATCCGCAATATGTGTATGTATAACTCATAGACTGTATATATATATATGTTATATTTATGTTATATGTATACTAAAGTACAGACAGTTTTGTGAGGTATCACAGTGCCCTCTGCTGGACAAAGATGAAAAGTGCATTTCATTGTTTAACCATCGAGGGTGAACTAATCGAGTTTGAAAAACATACAGGATTGTTAAAGGTAGGGTATAGGCCTATGGTATATGCAGAGCCCTATAATAGACGGCGCTGGCTCTTCCGTTTACTTGTTTAATAAAGAAAAACAAATGGACCGTAGATACACGGATTCTGACCTTTTCTGCGCTCTTATTTTGTAAGGTAACTTCCGGTAGCAGAATATTAACAATACGGTACGTTTTTTGTTTCTGTTTTCTAGTGATTTATTTTTTGTTTCGAGAAGTAGAAAACGAAACGATCCCGTGTCTTTAAGTTTAGTTAATATCGCCTTTTTGACCATGATAAAGAAAAACGCCTTTTATTTCAATTCTGGTTTTTCAATTTTAAAACGAAAATTAAATATCCAGTCGTTTTTTGTTTTTGAATATACTTTTTCGAAAAGAAAATCCAATCACCAAAGCATACACTGACCACTGACCAGTACCTTTAGGGCTATTGAATACGTCTATAAACACATGAGTTACGATATCCGATCCGAAGCAGGAAATTACGGAGGAACGTGAAGGCAGCGGGACAGTCTTTCAGGGGGACAGAGTTCGCATTATATTTTTTACACTTTGTGGAAGTTATTCTGCCATGGATCCACAGCCTCCTCAGAAGCCATGGGAAAGGATGATCCCAGGGGCAATGGGTGCACCTATGAATTACAGGTAAACGCTATAGCCTTAGTTTAACACGGTTTTTGTTTACTAACTACAGCTGATTCGCAGTTGTTGTTAGCTAGCTTAAACCAGCTAGTTTACACTAAAGTTGTTGCACAATCTTCCAAACAGTTGAGACTTTGACATGGTGGTTTAAAACACTGAACAATGATCTAATTAGTATTTGTCAAAAATATTTTTACCGACGATAGCCGTTTAAATAAAGTAACCTATCCTGTGCTACTAATAGCTAACAAACAAGTTAGGCCTAATGACGCCATGTTGTGTGTCTGCTATCTGAAGTTACATAAAGTGTGTATCGAAACGCTGTACATTAAATGCATCGCAGCATGTAAACTAAAACCTTTTAATAATTTCGAATTGCCCCTTACAACTTTGGGTAGTTTTCAGTGGTGCAATGAATAAGTAACCTACGTTTACTCAAGTATATTTGAGCTACTTGTAATTTACTTGAATATTTTCATTTCATACTTTATAACTTTGACTTAACTACTTGTATCTAAAAAATACTGTCTTTACAAATCAATCACACACATGTGAAAGTTTGCTGCTATTTATTTTAATAAACGTAATAGGTCTAAAGCATTAGTAGTATCTGTAATGTTTTTTAAATAAAATACATAAATAATGTATAGCATTATATAAATCATATTAATGCACATACTTACACGTACGTTGCAATTGGAATGGGAAAATACATATAAAAGGGGAACCAAATGTTAAAAAATCATCCAGCCAAAATAATACATAATATGGACTCTTGGGCTTGATTAACAAAAATATCAACAACAAAACCATGTATTACTTTAAAGGCAATATACTGCCAAACATAACATATAAGCTCAGTTTGATACAAATAACAACAACAACACTGTCATTTGACTTAAATCCTAAAAGTTCCAACCCTAGTCCTGTGGACGATGTTGATAAAAAAAAAGAAAAATTTAGGTAATTTCAATAAAATAATTGACAATGTTTTTAACCGTTTGTCTTGTCTCATTACACAGATCTGCAAACTTTGGCTTGGCTCCAGGCCCCGCTCCTGTAGGCCGTCCCGTCCTGACCAGAATGGTTCCCCCGGTGCCCCCTCGCTCCGCCCAGCAGTCTTACCGACCTTCCTACAGCTCTTTTAACTCCTCGTCTTACAGCCCCTATGGGGGCTCCATGTATGGAGGCTACAGCCCATACAGCTATGGTGGTGGTGGTGGCTACGGCATGGGAGGAGGGTACGGCCGCCCCCCTCACACGGAAGAGGTCGCCCCCAGCCGGTTCGTGCAGCAGGCGGAGGAAAGCAGTCGCGGAGCCTTCCAGTCCATCGAGAGCATCGTCCAGGCCTTTGGCTCCGTCAGCATGATGCTGGACGCCACCTTTTCAGCCGTGTACAGCAGTTTCCGAGCTGTGCTGGACGTAGCCAACCACCTCACACGGCTGCGCTCACACCTCACCAGAGTTCTGTCAGCCTTCGCTCTGGTACGCACCTTGCGCTACTTCTACCGACGGTTACAGAGGCTGCTGGGCCGGAGATCAGATGCTGAGGTGGACGACTTGTGGGCAGACAGTTCAAGTGATGCCCTTGCTACAAGTGTGTCCAGAGGGGATGGAGCGGGGATTGAGGGCCAGCCTGTGAAGTCCTGGCCTATCCTTCTGTTCTTTGTTGTAGTTTTGGGTGGACCCTACCTTATCTGGAAACTGCTGAGCTCTGACCCTGGCTCTGAGGAAAGCGGTGAGGCTCATATTCCACATTTTACACATGAGATGGTGAACTTTTAAATGTGTATGCACATACTTTCTTTAACTCAGGAGCTGTCCTTAATTTATTTTACACTTTAGATCAGCAGCTCTCAGTTTGTAAAGAAATGTCCAACACTTAGCAAGCAGCTGCTAGCACAGTTGAGTTCACCATTACTGCTGGCTTTACCAATTATTTGGAATGAAAACATTTCTGTGTCTCATTGCCCAACAGTTAAGAAACACTTTATCTATATCAGTGTTTTCTAACTTTTTCAGACCAAGGACCACTTAATACTAAAATAAATTCCCCCCAAATCCCCCAAAACAATAGGCCTCCAGCTGTATATGGCAGACTACAGGCAAATGAAATGGTTCTATCGTACAGTTTTAAACTTTGAAGCTACATAATGTCGAAATTATTATTAGTATTTTCCTTTTTATCTACATGGTGCCATGGTAGTTTTTCAAATGCTCTGACCTTTTTGTGCGGCTGCTCTATGTTCTTCTACTTAGAAATCTCTGATATCTGATCTGCACACCACACCGCCCGACCAGCACTTTTCTGCTAGAGGAAAAAAAGCGTACTCATCCTTACAGAAACATTACATGTAATAGCTTACCCTCTCCCTCCCTCAAACACACAGACAGAGCAAGTGTTGCGGCAGGTACTCGTCTCTGTTATTGTTTGAGTTTTTGAAAGTAGCAAGAAAATATCAAAGACTTAGAGTTGAAGATGTTTTGATATCTTTAAAAAACATCTTTTCATTGACCAAAGATTAATTCTGTACTAGAAAAGCTGATATTGGTGTACGTAGTCTATCTTTTACTCTTAATACAATAATAAGTAACAATTTTTTTGTGTTTCTTTGTTTAGCCACTAACTGGGCGAATGGGGAGGATGACCATGTGGTGGCCAGAGCAGAGTATGACTTCTCTGCTGCGTCTGAGGAGGAGATCTCTGTGCGGGCCGGAGACATGCTCAACCTCGCCCCTAAAGGTGAGAGCTCGCTAATAATAACAGGAGAATGTATTCTGTCCTCACGTTCCTCTCCTACAGAAATGATTCATCACATCATGGTAAACTAGACCATTACAGTCAATGTAATAAATCCTTGAAAAGTGTTTAAAGACAGAATTGGAAGTTCCTTGATTTTGTTTGTATTTTAACAAAATAAACTTCTAGTAATTTGCAGTGAAAGTTATGTTGGCATTAAACTAGAATATAGAAATAACTGAAATTGACATATCCAATCAAAAAGCCTTTAAAAGTGTGTATTTTGAGTGAAGAGTATCAAACAAATAGTCAATTAAAATGGCACTTGCTCTTCTAATGGTTAGTTGCTGGTTTTTGTATGTCTTTATGAGGGCGGTGGTGGCGAAGTCGATAGGGAGTTGGCTTGGCAACTGGAAGGTCACCAGTTCAAGTCCCGGCAAGACCAAGTGCTACCGAGGTGTCCCTGAGCAACACCGGTACCTACACTGCTCCCCGGGCGCCGTTCAAAATGGCAGCACACTGCTCCTAACACTAGGATGGGTCAAATGCAGAGAAACAATTTCCCCACGACGGATTAAAAATAGTCCATCTTATCTTATGTTGCAATGTGGGAACAATATGGATGCTACAAAGAACATGTGTTGTATTGAATTGCTCAGAGCATTTAGACAACATATGAGTATTTGTTTCCAAGTTGTTCTAACTTAAGGTGGCATTCATGTGAATTTTCCCATTCTGGTACCCATTTGTCAGATTTCTTTGACACCACATGAATGCAGCACGGCCTACCTTGCAATGTTAGCAAAAGTGAAAATGATTTTGTGCTTCCATCCCCCTTGATTAAGATCTCCAACATGTTCTTCCTTAGGCTATGCTAAACCAAGGTTTCTGCAAGTAGTTTTTCTGTAATTCTGCTGAGACCAACAAACCGAGGCAAAATATAAAACCTCCTTGGAGGAAGTGATCATGAAAGGCATTTTGTGTAAAAATTCAAGATTTCTCTAAAGAAAATGCTTGGTGTGTGTGTTTGATGTTGATGAGCTCAGATTGTGACCTTGTATTCTACCCTGTGTTTAGAGCAACAGCCCAAGGTCCGTGGCTGGCTGCTGGCCAGCTTTGATGGCCAGACCACAGGACTCGTCCCAGCCAACTACGTCAAGGTCCTGGGGAAGAGGAGAGGCTTGAAGCATGCAGAGATGGAGAGGCTTGCTCAGGTCCAGCAAGGCACCACACAGGCTTCAGTAACATCGCTTTCTTCTCACCAACAGCCAAGTCATGCCCCAGGCTTTCCACCGGGTCTCGGCTCAGCCTCCGCCCCTGTTTCTCAAGAGGCCCTGCTAGATTTAGTGTACAGAGAAACCCCCACTCCCTTTAGTGTGGGAACATCCAACTCCAGTATGCCCTCGATAGTGCTAAACATCCCTGAGAAGACGGACCTGTGATGTGTGTGCATGTATGCAGTTCTCTTTATGCAAGGTTATGTGTGATTATTATGGGTTGGCTCATTCAGTATTTGTGTTTCAGTCTGAAGCCTGACTAACAATGAGCTGACAGGAGATCTTAGGGGAAACAGCATAGTCCTAATTAAGAATTGATCAAGTTGTACTACAAATCTATAATTATTCAAATTAGATGAAACACAATCTGGACCTGATGATAAACTAAATGGTTTCCTGTTGTACTGTTTAGAACAAGTGTGTCTGGAATGAGGTAATCCTTACATATCTTCATTCAGAGCTTGTACAAGAAAAAAGGTTCTGTGTATTCGCTAATTAGGATACACAACTGTACTAATGATAATGTCGGATTTTGTATTTAATATGTTGAAATTGTTCATTAACATGAATTAGTTCAATGTTTAAGTTAATGTGGTGCACTGATTCATCATCTGTATACTGACGCTGTAAGGACAAAGCCAAGGTCTTTTATTTGATGCCATAATAATGTTATTTGTTGTTTGCCCCTACATGTAGTAGAGTTCTCCACATAGTCTTATTTGTGAAGCAAATGTGATTGGGTTATTCAGAATGAGAAGGGGGCTACATTTGCACATTTTCAGATTTTGGTTGGTCCAGAAAGTAATTTTGTAAATACTTGATATAATTATTTTGAAAATAAATATTTAAGAAAATCATGTTGGGCTCCTTGTGTAATGGCTTAATATATCATTAGTAGCTACACTGAACAAAAATATAAACGCAACACTTTTGTTTTTGCTCCCATTTTTCATGAGATGAACTCAAAGATCTAAAACATTTTAAAAGTGTTGCGTTTATATTTTTGTTCAGTGTAGCTACTAATGATATATTNTCTCCTTTGCCGAGATAATCCATCCCACCTCACAGGTGTGGCATATCAAGATGCTGATTAGACAGCATGATTATTGCACAGGTGTGTGTGCCTTAGGCTGGCCACAATAAAAGGCCACTCTGAAACCTGCATTTTTGCTTTATTGGGGGGGTCTGGGGGGTTTGAAAACCAGTCAGTAACTGGTGTGAGGGTTAGGGTTAGGGTTAGGGTAATGTTGTGAATCGAGTGGCCCATGGTGGTGGTGGGGTTATGGTATGGGCAGGCGTATGTTATGGACGACGAACACAGGCCACTCGATTCACAAAATTACCCTAACCCTAACCCAGATACTGACTGGTTTTCGGACCCCCCCAATAAAGCAAAACTGCACGTTTCAGAGTGGCCTGTTATTGTGGCCAGCCTAAGGCACACCTGTGCAATAATCATGCTGTCTAATCAGCATCTTGATAGGCCACACCTGTGAGGTGGGATGGATTTTCTCGGCAAAGGAGAAGTGCTCACTATCACAGATTTTTTCAGATTTGTGAACAATATTTGAGAGAAATGGTTATTTTGTGTATGTAGAAAATGTTTTAGATCTTTGAGTTCATCTCATGAAAAATGGGAGCAAAAACAAAAGTGTTGCGTTTATATTTTTGTTCAGTGTATGAACAAATATGATCAGCATGCAATAGTTTACTGAATAATCTCATGTTGATTCAGTGGACAGAGAAGGAGTGAGCTGCAGAAAGAAAAGGCATGTGTTGCTTGGAGGAGGTGAGTGAGAATATTGTGTTTTTTTGGAAACTATGTAAAGCCCATTTTNATGCCACACCTGTGAGGTGGGATGGATTATCTCGGCAAAGGAGAAGTGCTCACTATCACAGATTTTTTCAGATTTGTGAACAATATTTGAGAGAAATGGTTATTTTGTGTATGTAGAAAATGTTTAAGATCTTTGAGTTCATCTCATGAAAAATGGGAGCAAAAAAAAAAGTGTTGCGTTTATATTTTTGTTCAGTGTAGTTGGATTATGAAGTGAGTTTCATTAGTAATAACAGGGTTTCACTCTATGGTTTCACCACAGACATGGCCAAGATAGCAAGATAGCTTTTTGTTTTTTTCTAGGTTTCATTTTACTAATACTGCTAGTATTACATTTTTCCATGTGAATTTATTACGTTTTTGGAAAATGTTGAGGACAAAAATAATCCATGTACGGCCTCTGTCTCTAAGCAACAGGACGCCTCACCTGCTGCAGTGCGACATCAGGGCAATAGTATGAAGCTGCGGCGTAGGGACGCAGCGAAAAACAGGACTAATTTAACATCGTTTATTTGAGTAAAATGTTTCTTGACTTTACTGCAAAGTTCAGATTTAGACAGTGCAGCCGGTCGGTAACTTTTCCCTGTGCTACTGAGCTAGGGGCTTAAACATTTACAAACGTCTGATGGGAAGCTACATAAAGTTACCTAGCTAGCCGATATGCTAGTTGCTTGAAGCCAATGCTGCCTTCATGAAGTATTGGAAGTGATGCTTTCATGGGTGACACTGAGCTCAAAGGTATTTTTGTTGAAGTCGGAAATAGTAATTTGGCAAAATATACTTTAAAAAAAATGTTTTTCCTTTGACCGCATAACTTTAAATCACTTCTATGAAAGTGAGCATAACCATTTATATGAATAAATACCGCAAAATTGATCATAACATTGCAATATATGCTATCACCAGGGGTGGTTTTTAGAGCATAATCTGTAATAAAAAGATGAACGAAAATATATGCGACTGACTGTATCACTGGAGTTTGTGACTAGGCATTTACTAGGAGTACTTGAAGGCAGCAGGTCCCTCAAAGTGAGCTAGCATTAGCAGCAGTAGCTGCAGTTAGCCGGTAGGAGAGCACTGCAGCATCAGCATCATCCACACACCATGACATGAGACAGGCACCGACTCCTACTGCACTGTACGAGACAACGGGGAAGAAAATCCCTCTCCAAGATAAGTATGTTCACTATATCTAACCATTCTTAGCGTTTGAAATGTTTGTAGAGAACCAGCTGAATGAATTTGACCTATAATCATGTGATGTTGATGCAGGAGGGGGCGGACAGAGGGACTCGGCCTGCACTAGCATCACTAACGTTACTCCACTGAAATTACGAAGTTTCTCTTTTGCATAAAATGGATTTATTACATTCGTCTGAATCAGAAAATGTATGTAAAGTGCGAACATCTTTGGCTGCTATCATTATCTTTGGTTAACCTCTGCAGACCCTTCAGTCTGTTACGACCTACGATGTGTTCAATGGTAGAACATCGTAGCAACTTTGGTTTCTAGTGAAGGACTCATTAGTATGGAGCCCATTTCAAAACTTACCCTAGTGATGAATAAATAAAAAATATCCCGTAAATCATTATAATGGAAACTTTCCACTCTATCAAAGTTATAAGAAACTTTCTTAAAATATTTCTATTTATTTTTAAACTAATGATTTGTTAATCAAAATAATGAGAAGCATTCTCAAAATAATGTAAACCTTTTAAAAATATTGACTTATTTTGAATTAATGAATTAGTATTGCAATTTAACACAATTTAATTTTTACACCACTTTTAAATGAGCACAGCTCTCCACTTTAAATATGGCATATAGTATTTGTCATATTTTATTATATTTCACTGTACTTAGTTTATCACTTCATTTTATTTTGTGTAAATATTGTCTTTATTTTTAATTTGTTAGGATAGTCTTAAAATGGTTGTTAAAATAGCTGTTATAACAGTACTATTTTAAGATTATTTAGTTTTTCTATGTATTCTTCTTCTTCTTCTTCTTCTTCTTCTTCTTCTTCTTCTTCTTATTATACTAAAGCAAATTCCTCGTATGTGATTTTGTGACCAAACAAAATACCTTAAAAGTCAATAAATTATCATTAAAGGTGATGAAATTGTAATTAACACTAAGAATATATTTCTATGAATAATACAAGTTGAGAATAAATGTAAAAGAAATACAAAAGCACATTTTATAAATACTACAATTCACCAGTAAACATTCACATGTACCAATACACCTTGGTAATTTACAGTTAATGTCATTAAAAAATGGAAAGAGCATTGGTTGGATTTTGTCCAGCACTTAACCTTTATTGTTAGTGGTTTTATATCTGGAATTCATTTGATTTCCTTTGGAAAGTATTTCAGAGTAAACAGCGTAATTGAAAAAAGACATTGTCCAAATGTACTGCAGCTGTACTATGTGGTGTTTTACAGTGGCCATTCCCCATGCTCCATAATGATAAGAAAATATAAAATGCAATCATCAAGCAGCTTTAGGCATTCATCGTTGACTTACTGCCTTTTATTTCTCATCTCTCTGCCTCTGCAGAGATGAGACGCTTCTCCTCGGATAACAACAACTTTCCTTATGACAACAACGTCCTGGTTTTGGACATGGTGCTGGGCTCTCTGTGGGGGGTGCCCCAGCCCATAAACTGGGACAATGTTGCCAAGCTGGTTCCAGGATTCACTTCCAAGGAGGTAACTGGAATGCTGGGTAACTATCATTGCTTCCATCCATCTGCCCCTCCATCTGTCCCCTCCCATCCATCAATCATTCCACCGTTTAGTGACGTTAGGTGTGTTGTTGGTAAGAAATAATACTGTGTCTCTTGTGTGATCTTGCAGTGTGCCTGTCGCTTTGAGGAGCTGAAGACCACCGGGGGGTTTCCTCACGTGGACAACCAGTGTAATGCCCTGACAGAAGGAAGCACCTCCCCTTCAGACGGCCCCCCCACGCTGCTGGAGGCTGGGGAGGTGGTGGAGACAGGAAGCAGCCAGAGCAGCAGCAAAGTGACAGGTCCGTTAGTGACATCCTGAGTACAATACATCACTTTGTTTATTGAAATTGAAACACACACATGTCCAGATAGTCAAGTATACCATCAAAACGTAAGAGGCTGAACCCTTGTATAAAATGCTAGAGCAATAATAAACAATGCAGTACAAACAAAAGACCCAAAAAACATACATGTTGGTACCTAGTAATAATAAAAGATTAAACAAAATAAACATGATAAAGAAAAAAATATATATATATAATTCCTAACCCACTTAAAGTATGATTTTGCAGTTTGACACATTTAAAACTATCATGAATGAACAGCTTCAAACACTACAGGCCAGTGGCCAGCATAGTAAACCCGGAAATGTTGAGTACACCAAAATGTGATGTTAGAAATGTATAGTACGGGTCCCCAGCACATAGAAACTGCCGGATGCTAACTTGTATGTTGGGCAATTTGCACAATTAGCATAAGTTGCGTTCATAGAAGTGAATGGCATTATAGCCTATGTAAACAATAGTTAAAATATGACTTGGCCGATTTGGACAATGTTGGAGTGGTTTTGGGGGTTATTGAGGATGCTGGATCCCTTATTGGCCAAAAATGACAGTTTTAACCAGAAATTGGCCATCTGTGGGCTGATTTTCCATAAAGAATGAGTAAAAATCATACTTTTAATTTCCCCCCTTTTTATACTGGACTTTCCAAAACACAAATGTCAGTTTAGTTAAGTTTAACATGCAAATTGAGGAGAAACCAAACCCATACATAACGCTTATTATAAATATTAAACAGCAAAGTAAAAAAAGACACAATTTGTTACTGTGTGTGACTTTATTTACATTTTTCCTTTTGGTGTCAACAGGCTCAAAATCAGCGGCCACAGGAAGGGTTGGTGCCATGGAGAAGAAAGAAAGACGAGTCTCAGCAGAGGAGGAAGACAAGCCTCAGAAACCACGAGAGTAAGTATTGAAGATTGTTGTTTTTCCTTTCAAATGAATGTCCATTAATATAAGATTGAATGAGTGTGTCCTACCCAGACATATTTCATTCCACTATATTTCAGTTACATTTTAACGCTTTTCCAGCATGTTATCATGATTATCAGAAACATGCAGTGATACTTCTGACACAAAGTATTCCTTTCGTCCCATATCTAGCCCCAACATGGTGATCCATGTGTGTGATGAGACCAAGAACCTGAAACAGGACTTCACATGCCCCAGAGATCTTCTAGTCAAAGAGATGCGTTACTTTGCTGAGTATTTGTCTGTGGACGCCCAGAGGTGGGAGGAGGTGGACATCTCGGTCCACTGTGACGTGCAGATCTTCGACTGGCTCATGAACTACGTCAGGAGGAACTCTGCGGGAGAGGGGAACCGGGACAAACCCCGCCTCGGTAAATCCCCGACAAACTACAACAACATAATCAATATGACATTGTTACACATGGGAATAGCTGTGTTGTGTTTTTGGTGGGTCACTGGCTGTGTGTTCTGTGTTAGTGTTTGTTTTGGGGTTTGCTTGGTTGGTCATGTAGTGTTTGTCGGTTACAGAGCCCAGCAATGTGATCTCAATCCTGATCTCCTCCGAGTTCTTGAAGATGGATACGTTAGTAAGTGTTGTGACGTGCCATTGCTTGCTGTGGTGATGTGCTTCGGCCTTTTGTTTTGAAGTGTAAAACAGACTTATTGAGATGTTCAGAACTGATGATAGGTAATCTCTCTCTTAAAGCAGAAGGCCCTTATATAGAGCTTTGTTAAATTGATGTTGCATGGACGTTATTTAGCCCCAACATTTATTTAGACAGTTTGCTGTACATTTTTATACCCATGCTGTATTTAAAGATAACATTCTAACAATTACAAAGTAGGGCTTAATCACTATATTTCTAGGGTCATTTAAATTAAATGACTTATTTCTGGAAAAGTCTCCAAATGTGGTTTATGTGTGTCCATGTTCAGGTGGAGGAGTGCATCCAGTACTGCCACAAACACATGAGCTCCATCGTGGCTACGCCCTGCAACATGAACTGCATCAACAGCAACCTGGCAACCCGCATCGCAGAGCTCTTCAACCACAACGAGGCCGACGACATCCGGGACAAAAAAGACAAGTTCAAAAGGTACCAATATGGGAGAGCATTCGAGGCTTCACATTTCTGTTGTCATATTTTATTATACTGTCACCATTAAAAGTCAATCATCCAATCAATTCCTTAAATTGAATAAAGTGATTCATAACATTAAATGAGTATTAACGTAATGACATCTTGAAGGAACACCAAGTTAATTCAGTTACATTATATGATTGTTTTTGTGGTACAACTTAATATATTCAATAATTGTATAAGAGCCAAAACAGATTTTTTTATTGTTTTTTATGGTAGTGTTAAACTGCTGCTGCCCCTTTTAATATAGGTGCAGCAAGCAGGAAAGCAAACCGCTGTAAAACCTTTTATTTTGGAAAGGCTTAATGGCAACAAATATGGATTGAAAAATACTGTAAAAACATGTTAATTGTGGAAATTATTAGCTCGATCTTTTATTTTTTATTTTGGCATGTTTGGATCACACAAGCTGGTCACTACCCCACCAGGCACCACTGGAATCTAGTCCTATAAATACTATATTTATTATTATATTAGTGTAACTTAATCTTAATCTGTCACGGTTCAGAAATACCTCCTTTAAACAGAATGAATACACATGCAAATACAAAGAGTTCAAATTACAAATGTAAACGTTATGAATAAAGCTTTGAAGCTTCAAACTATCTAAAAACAATAAGTAATCCTCAAACATTCTCTGGATTAATTTACATAAGTAGATGCTTGTACTTATTTTGCTTTTTTTTTATTTCCTTCCCAAAGTAAATTGTTTCAGAAGAAAATTGAGCGTCTCTTCGATCCCAACTGCCAGAACAGAGACTCCCCTGGAAACGCCTCGACCCTGTACCGGTGAGCAGCTCGCCTCTGTTCCACCTAGCTTTCCCTTTTATTAAAGGATTTAGTCGCGTCTTCTTTTACCAGTCTCACTGTTGAACATTTATGTGTGTGCTCATTCCCAGGTGTGGTCTCTGCCTGAAGACGCTGACCAAAGACACAGAGAGGAACATTTCTTGTGTTCCTGGGAAAATCAACATTGATTCTCGAGGAGAGATCATCTATTCACACACTAAGTAATACAGCAAAGAAACAGATTCATGTAGCTCCTTGTTTGTTCAGCTGAAGATAAACAGAAATATCCCATTCACTCTAAAACACAGTGTATCCATGTGTGTGTGTTTTCAGACAGAAGAGCTGGGATGTGCATGAATACATCAGTGTCCTGTATGAGGAGCTCAAGTCCTGGGTCCTGGTATACTGGAGGATCTGGGGAACCATCAACTACCTGCCCTGCTCCCGGTGCCAACAGGTGAGTGGATGCATGGAAGGACACATACTTTTGACTGTATTCATCCCCAGCTAAAGCTGTGTGTGTGTGTGTGTGTGTGTGTGTGTGTGTGTGTGTGTGTGTGTGTGTGTGTGCACGCGCGCGTCTGTGCGTGTCTGTAGGTGTTTGTGTGTGCAGACCTGACCCAATGCAAGTACCACCCGGACACTGTGCTGTACCCTGGGATGGCCACTGAGAAAGGGTGGCATGGTGCAGGAATCTACCCCTGCTGCAACCAGAGGGTGCTCCGCTTCGACCCCTCGGGTATGCCAAAGGTATGGACACACACACACACACACACACACACACACACACACACACACACACACACACACACACACACACACACACACACACACACACACACACACACACAGTTATTTTACGAGGTGCCAGTTCCCCTCCTGGGCACTGCCGCCGTGCCCCGGGTTTGTTACAGTGGCTGCCCACTGCTCATAAAATACTAGAATGTGTTAATGCAGCCACTACGTTTCACGGTGTACGGTGCTGTGTATGAACACATATGTGTTTGACCACTAAGATAGAAATCGATACGAATCCACCATTTACAATGTCCAACACTAACACCAGAGTCCCAAGCAGAGGAGCTAGCGCAGCCCTGCTAACCCAATCAGCTGCCTTCACATGACCAGCAGTAAAACAGCTCTGTGCTCTGTGCTCATATTTGTCATAAGCAGTGCCCTTGAAGTTGTCGCCAATGACTGCACTCAAAGTTCTAATTATTTCAACTTTGACCTCCATTCTCACTGATCTTTCATGCAACCAATGAGATTACAGCCATATTAAACACCAGGGGCAAGCAGCCAATGTAACCACAGAATTATAACTAACTAAATGCTTTCCCTGCAAGGCTTTGCGCCCACCTTCGCTGTGAGCAAAGAGCAAAAAGCGCAATGTGAAGTTTAAGAGTTGGGGGGTCAAGCGTGTGTTTTGATATCATACAACTTTTCTATTGTTACATACATTTACAAACAGTTCCCAGCTTTTTTATTAGACACTCCAGACACCCAGAGGCTTCCCTGGCCGACCCCAACCTTAGGTTTACTCTACATATTTGTTGCCAATACATATTTCAAACTGTGTGTTGAGGAGTTCAGTCACAGCGTGAATGTGTTCCTGTGTAGGGCTGTAAGATGCGGGACCACATCGTGAACGTCCCTGATGAAGAGGACTGTGACGAGGCGACCTTCGCTCAGACCCGAGTCCTGAACGACCTGCTGCTGCACCGAGACGCCGTGTGTGTGTGCAGCACCCCCACTCCAGAGGGGTGAGCCGGAGTGTGTTTGATACTATTTCACAGGAGCAGTTGTTGTGAGAGGTTCTGAATGCATGTTTTTGTGTTTGCATGTGTGTTAGTCCTGAGGAGAGTCCCTCCGGTACAGAGAAGGTTCCGGACTGTGATGTTCTGTTGGAGCCCACACTGCTGGGACGCCTGAAGGGGGAGGGCTGCACCGTGAGTCTCTCTCAGTGTGTTGCTATTCTGATGCTTCTCTTCTACCAGAATGTTATGTTTCTGGTTCTGACTTAAGCTTCTTTATTTTCTCAACCAGTTTTCCCTTTTGAAAAACTGGAGTCTGCAACTGGTAGGACTTTTTCTTCACTTCTTTCATTACATCTGCTTATATTCTTACATGTACAGTGGGGCAAAAAAGTATTTAGTGCAAGTTCTCCGACTTAAAAAGATGAGAGAGGCCTGTAATTTTCCTCCTAGGTACACTTCAACTATGAGAGACAGAATGGGGGGAAAGAATCCAGAAATACACATTGTAGGATTTTTAATGAATTCATTGGTAAATTCCTCGGTAAAATAAGTATTTGATCACCTACAAACAAACAAGATTTCTGGCTCTCACAGACCTGTAACTTCTTCTTTAAGAGCCTCCTCTGTCCTCCACTTGTTAACTGTATTAATGGCACCTGTTTGAACTCGTTATCAGTATAAAAGACACCTGTCCACAACCTCAAACAGTCATACTCCAAACTCCACTATGGCTAAGACCAAAGAGCTGTCAAAGGACACCAGAAACAAAATTGTAGACCTGCACCAGGCTGGGAAGACTGAATCTGCAATAGGTAAGCAGCTTGGTGTGAAGAAATCAACTGTGGGAGCAATTATTAGAAAATGGAAGACATACAAGACCACTGATAATCTCCCTCGATCTGGGGCTCCACTCAAGATCTCACCCCGTGGGGTCAAAATGATCACAAGAACGGTGAGCAAAATCCCAGAACCACACGGGGGGACCTAGTCAATGACCTGCAGAGAGCTGGGACCAAAGTAACAAAGGCTACCATCAGTCTAGGTCCCCCCGTGTGGTTCTGGGATTTTGCTCACCGTTCTTGTGATCANGTAATAATATTATTTATAATGCTTATATATATATATATATATATATATATATTGTTTATACTACTGCTAATAATGTACTGGTCATACTGCTTTGAATACTGATATTGAAACTACTGCCAATAATATCAATACTACTTCTGCTGCTGTTTCATCTAGTGCTACTGGTAATATTTATATTTCCACTACAGACAATTCTTCTATAAAACATCTTAAATCACTGACTCTTTACACTCTCAAAACTACTCCCAAGAAATTGACAGGAGACTCAAAGAAAGTCACATTCAAAAGACCTTCTGGTACTTCAGCACCACGGACAGCGTCATGGATTTATTAATATAGGGGACAGTCAGACTGCTGGTATTTCAGAGCTAAGGTCGGTTTCTCACCTGAAACAACCACAGTCAGATAAGGGATCAATAAGTAATGCAGCACTGAAGGTGTATTGGAAGTTAGGGCTGGAGAATTGACCAAGCCATTTGCTGAGACACAGAAGGGACACAGCCTCTGCCCAACTAACTTTGGTTGTCTTTCATTGTCCCCGGTATTTAACTTAAGCTTAGAAAATGAATCCACTTCCATGACTAGATACTGAAAGTTCTGTCCCTAGTGCAGAGTGCTTGGCTCCAGACATGTCTCCTCCTGATAAGAAGTATTCAAAACGTTCACAAATACATGTACTTCTACAGTACCCGTTACATCAGTTCGACTGCTGTACAATTTATTTAGCCACTTGTTAGCGTTCCCTGTTTTTATGGCTTTGAACAATCACGAAGGGGGCGTTTACTGACGTCCTTTATGTTGTCAAGCAACATGGGAAAATCTGTGATATCCACAGACCTTATTTCAGGCGTTTAATCAAAAACATGCTAACTTAGAGACAAGGTAAGTGGAAATTGTAAAATGCTCACTAATTTCTGTGTTTTAAGACTCATTCCGGCACCAATCTATTCACTTTGGATCTATAGCAGAAGCTAAATAAGAAGTCACTTAATGTTTTACTCTTGACATATTGATCAATTAGCTACACATAAGAAACATGGAAGTGCTTCCATCACATTCAGAGAAGTTAGCCTCAGTTAGCCCTCCCAGTGGGACTTTAAAGTAATAAGGCAGACCCGCAGAGCTTTGAATCACTGCATCTCATCTACTCCTCCTCATCAGAGCTGCCAATCGAACGACCCCTGGTCAAGAGCCGCAGCGCCGCTAAAGAATGACACTGCTAAATAGAAACACAGCAGCATTGTGAGGGGAGGGAAAAACTCTGCGACACTAGACGGAAGACGCCAGCTGTGCCTTTCAGGCTGCAGAGCAAATTGGATCACCTGCTAAATCTATTTAGTGCAAATAGAGAGTATTAGCTTGTAACTTACTTTATTCTTCTGGCAACATGACTTCCTTCTTGCCTTTTAACTCTCCTCTCCCGAGCTTATTATTTCACTTTCTCTTCCATCCTTCTGTCTTTCTTTACTTGCACAACTTCCTACGTGACTTTCTGTTTCCTTTGAAGGGCCAAAGTAAAACTTTATATGTAGTGCAGAAGTAAGAAAACATTCAAAAATCAGCTTGACTTTTAAGTAACTCCAAAAATCCAGCGTTGGAAGAAGACTTACTCAACAGTGCAGTACTTTCTATAGTTTTAGTGTATTATAATCACTATTAGCTATATAAGTTAAAAACAATGAAATACCGTGCTACTGTACTTGTATTGCCACTTTGATTTCGTTTGCAGTAGTTTTTTTATTTGATTGCTATTGTTTTATTGCATAAAAGCAGTACCCTTGTGATTTAGGATGTCCATCAAGTTGGTGGACTCACAGATAACAACTATTTTATTTTCTAAATGTAAGCACCAGAAATTTGTAGTCCTAGATTCTAGAATAAAGACCCAAACGTATTTCAGCGCAGACAAACACAAGACACACACACACAAGACAGACATGACACGACACACACACCACCTTACATATTTCTGAAATGCACACCTGAAACTCTCATGAATAAACCAGATCGGTGGGCTTCACTAGAGAAAATAAAACATGAGCCATCTTCTCTCCCCACCCTGAAATCCGTTTTCTAAATGTCTAGGAGCAGTCACAATCACACACCCTGCGTCTGTCTCCCCACCCAACATGAAATATTAATGACACCCCGCAGTCCACAGGAACTCGCCGCTCACCGTATCAAACCGCTGCAGTTCTGGGGAAGTTAGCGTGTGAGTGTGAGCGAAGAAGAAGGGGGATGGTTGCATTGAGGCCATGGTCATGTGACAACACTTTGCATGCGTGTGCCCGTCTATTAATGCAATGGTGTGTGGCTGCTTTAAGAAAACGCTTTGTTTGCAGTACTTAATGATTTATATGAGGGTTTATTTGTGCACAAATAATGTTGAGAGCGGAGTGTGCCACGGCGGCATATATGCAGTTTGTGTTTGCTGAGGTTTGTCCATGGAGCGGCCTGCAGCATCAACAGCATATAAGTAACACAACAAAGCGCTGCTGGTGTCTTTTTGAAGGAGCACTAAAGTCAAGTTTTGAGTTTAATCCCACAAGTTTAGGATGTTATTTCTCTTTGTTGAAGATTTCTAGAGGCTTCTGATCAACAAGACTGATTAGCGGACGCTGTAAAACTAGTGAGCAGAATGATGACATTTTAACACTAGAACCACCAACGGGTACATTTTACCCGCAGCTGTTTCTTGATTGTATGTAACTTTTTTTCAATAAAATATTCTAGTCTCCCAGTTTGTGACTTTTCCTGAAAGTCGCAAATTGCGCCGCATTTGCGCTTCAGATGAGGAGGTGAGGCCCCCTCATAACTGCATGAACCCGTATGGCACAATACAACTGAGACTGGCTTACCTGTGCGTCAATCGAGTGGCAAATGCCATAGTAAGGATGGACGATAGGCTAACTTGAAAAAAATATTTTTCAATGCCATGCGATCTACCCACACTACCGATCGACGTATTGGGCACCCCTGCACTAGAGGAAAGGGAAAACCCCAAAAAGCATGATAGCACCCCTTCCACTCTCACTTGAGAGAGAGAACTGGCAAGTTGGCATGATTAAAAATGGTTTCTATGGTTACAGTACATTGATATTTCTTGCAAACTGCTTCAAGACAGCAGCCAAAAACAAAACAACCTTAGTATAGTGTACAGTTTGAGGGGTATGGCAGTAAGTAAGTGAGTGCTCACCTCCGCCAGTCTGGACGGTTTGTGGCTGACTTCATGATGGTCTATGGGCGGAGGCTTCGGCAGCGTGTTGCGGTTGTTGGTGAGCGCCCGAGTCAACCGTGCAAACTTGGTCCATCCTGCAGAGAGGAGACATTAAACACATATTAGATAACATGCATCACAACATAGCTGGCTTTGTTTTTTTATGCACACAAACACAATTAGCACTCAGTCAGTGTTGTGATTAAGTTAATGACTCCAATGGGAACTTACTGGAGCTACAAAATATTCCCACAGCTTCCCTTTGTACTTGTTATTCCCAAGTGGGAGTTCATATCTAACCCGGCACAATGTGATCGCACCACTAGCCCTGCCTTGGTTTTGCAGGAATCATCTTCAAATGCATCTGAATGTCCAGCAGCTGCAGGGTTTTTACTCTAGAGCCTTCAGATTTGTTTTGACCTTCGCGTGTAGGCGGGAGATGAAGGAGAATTTCTCCTTCAGGGGATCGATGCAACAAGAACTATACACGTTTAGCATATGTCTGTCTGGTGAAAATTAAGCTTAGGGGGGAAACTACTTCCTCAGGGTACATTTTAAAGTTTAAAAAAGTTATGTTTAGTGGCTGAGTCAGGATGGTCTGGGAGATAATTGCAAGATAAACTTGGACTTGGAAGGGTTATAACTGTACATGTACGTAAATTTCAATACTAGAATTGATATTGGACATATTTTAAATATGTCATATCCAAAGTGTGGTCTATAGTGTATTTATACTACTGTATAGTGTCTACTGTATATTTCTGCTACTGTACTTCCAAGGTGTATTTAATATTTATACTAGTGCTAATAGTGATTATACTTATTAGAACAGTTTTTACTGTATATAGTTTTCATATCCGTCATATTATACTATACATAGAAATGACACTGTGCTTTACTGCCCGTCTTTTGCACTTTTGGTTAAACACTAACTAAATAAGGTTAAATCTAATCATATCGTGAAAAAACATCACTTTTTTTGCTTTAACTTAAAACGTCTACTTTGTTATTTTTCA